TCATGTCAGGAGGACTTCCCAAGGCGCTGGACAGTCAATGTTTTGGACCTGAGCTGCGGGTCGGGTTGGAGAGGTGGAGGACAGGGGGGGAAGGAGGGTGATCAAATGCATGGTCGAAGAGGAGGGTCTTGAGTTCCAGGAGGTGGGGGCAGAGTGGCTGAAGGCTCACCCACCAATATGTAGGGAGGGCGATGCAGGGAACATGAAACAGGCTGGAGCCCGCTGAGCGGAGAGAGCAGGCAGGTTGGAAGAGGGTTAGGAGGTTGCAGAGGTAGTGGGAGCAAGGCTGTGGAGGGCTTTGAAGGTGAGGACCAGGATCCTCTGCGTGGGAAGCAAGTAGAGTCGAGGGCTGGCCCTGCTCCAGGCGATGAATTCAGGCCTCGCTCAAGGGGTCGATTTAAGCCTCGCTCCAGACGTCAATTTAGGACTCACTCTAGGCGCTACAGCCAAAAGATCCACCCTTTTGGCTTCTGAGGGCTACTTGAGAAATAGTAGCAAGTCCATAGAGGGCTTTGAAGGTGAGGACCAGGACTTTGAACTGTGTCTTCTGTGTGATGGGAAGCCAGTGGAGTGGGGCGAGGATGGGGGTATTCGGGTCACGGAGCCTGGTGTAGGAGAAGACATGGGCTGCAGAGTTCTGGATGATCTGTAGCCTATGGAAGGAAGAGTTGGGGAGGCTGACAAGCAAGCAGTTTGCATAGACAAGCCTCAATGTTATGAATATGTGTTTGAGGGGTGTGGCGGCCTGCTGTGTGAGACAGTGGCGGAGCCAGGCGATGTTGCGGAGGTGGGGTAAGGCAGAACGGGTCATGGTGCAGATGTGGGGAAGAAAGGATAGTTGAGGGTCAAATAAATGCCAAGGTTCCAGACTGGGTTAGTGAGGTGGAGTGTGCAACCATGGATGGTGATGCTGTCAGCGCCTGAGGTGTGGAGGCACTGACAGGAGTTTATCAGGAGAGCCTCTTTCTTGCTGACGTTCAACTGTAGAAAGTTATCTTTCATCCAGGACTTGATGTCTGACAGACATTCTGTCAGAACAGCAGTGGTCCTGGAGTCAAGGGTGGAGGCAGAGAGGTACAGTTGGGTGTCAGCCGCATACATGATGTCACCAAGAGGGAGCATGCAGTTATTGAAGAGGAGGGGAACAAGGACAGAGCCCTGAGGAACGTCGCACGGGACGGTGCGTGGGCTAAAGGAGAAACCGTTTGTGGAGATGAAGTGGAGACAGTATGAGAGGTACGATCTGAACTATTCAAGGACAGAACCATGAAGGTTGAGTTGAGTGGAGAAACAGTGGAGGAGAATAGAGTGGTCAACGGTATCAAAAGCAGCAGAGAGGTCAAGGAGGACGAGGAGGCAGAGGGAGCCCTGGTCGCAGATCGACAAAATGTCATTTGTCACTTTGACCAAAGCTGTTTCTGTGCTGTGGGCGGCACGGAAATCCGATTGATGGGGTATGTGAAGGGTGGGAGAGGAAGGAGCAAAGCTGGGAAGCAATGACTCATTCCAGGACCTTGGAGAGGAAAGGGAGGATGGAGATGGGGCGGTGGTTTGAGAGAAGAAATGGGTCCAGGAGGGTTTTTTAAGGATAAGAGTGATGACGGCCGTTTTTAGAGAGGTGGGAATGGTACCAGTGGGCAGGAAGAGGTTTATGATATCTGTGAGTAGAGGGGCAAGGAGGTGGATCTGGGAGGTAAGGATGGGGTTGAGGGAGCAGATGGTCAGTTTCATACGGGTTAGAGTGGTGATGAGAGAGGAGTGGGAGACAGGTTCGAAGGTGTGGAGGGAGGGCTGGGTAGAGGCAGTGGTGTGAGGGGGAGATGGGGAAGGGTTAATAGAGTCCTGTAGTTCAGTGGTTAGAGCACTCGTTTTGCAAGCGAGAGACCTGAGTTCAATTCCAGGCAGAGGGCGAAACCTTGGGCAAGTTTCCTTACTCCACACAGAGCCTAATAATAATCCCTCCAAAATCAAAAACAATAATAAATTGGTCATTTTCAATCTACGACTGTTTGTGGGACATTGCTGTGCGCAATTGGCTGCTGCGTTCGCCCATAAGTATACAGTCAATTCATTTTACAGTGTGTTCTGTAAAGCACTTTGGGACGTCCTCCCGACGTGAAAAGCGCTATATCAAATGCAAGGATTATTATATTATTATTATAGATGGAAAGGCAGAGGTAGCTGAGCAGATCCCCTCGACTTTGGTTTTGAGGAAGTCCAGCATCGCTTCGCGGTTGGTGTTGGAGGAGAGGATAGAGGACTGGCAGACGAGCAGAATCAATCGATTCATTAGAAATTTTCTAGATTAAAAAAAAGCGCACGAGCATTTCTGCTTGAACATTTGCAAGTGGCTGTCTGTATTTTGTGTTGCTATGACTCAACAGTGAATAATTCATGACTAGCTAGTCGGGTGGGGGGGATCGGGGGGGGGGTGCGTCTTCCATTCAGCACTCAGCACTAAGCAGCACTGTGACCAGCTTCCTTCAGCCTCCTTTCACAGCACTCAGAAGTGCTCCGCAGTGTATTGTGTGTATGTTTGTGTGTGTGTGTATGAGAGAGAGAGAGAGAAGCTGAGCACAAAGACCGGCTCTCCAGTCAGTGTGCGATCATTTCCGTAGCACTTCAAACCCCTACAGGCGAGGACTCGTCAAAAAAATCAAGGAAATATTGTGTCACAAAACAAGGGGAGTGGCTCAGATACAGAACCCTGTTCACATACTTTACAAGGGGCCTGGAGAACGCTGTCTGCTGGATCAGCCTTCATATCGAAATACTTAACCTACTTAACCTTGGTTCCCGTATACAGCGTCGATTTAAGGTGCGTTTCTATCTCCACCCTTTACAGAAGGCTTTATTTTGTGTTTATTTATTGGTTACAGTCACCGCAGAGCCAATGTGAGACAAGCATGACCTGAAACAGAATAAGAGAATAAACGTCAGCTATAATAACTATTCAATGGGTGTGTCCTTGGCAAAACAATGAGGAAAGTGTGCGTGTGTGTGGGGGGGAGGGGGGGAACATATGGACAAATGCCTTATTAGGTCCAATCAAACATTTGATAATAATAAATCAACCTTGCAATTGATATAGCGCCTTGTCGCGACGTCTCAAAGCGGTTCACAAAATATACTGTAAAGTGGATTGACTGTATATTTTGTGGTCGAAACGCGGCAGCCAATTGCGCACAGCAATGTCCCCACAAACAGTTGTGGATTGAGATGAACATTTTGAGGAGCGGAGGGCATAAATGTTTCAGAACACAAAGCAGGAAGTAAACAGAAAATATTGAAAGATCACTTCATGGTATTATGTTTAGCACAAATGCAGCTGCAGGAAGCAGATGTGTGTTTGACACAGTATGGAGATGTGCCTTACAACGGTAACATAGGAAAACAGGAGGAGGCCATTTCAGCCCATCAAGCCTGTTCCACCAGTTTTATTAGATCTTGGCAGATCTTTTAACCCCCGATGTCCACCCTTTCACCATATATCACACTCCAGCCCACGTGCAGATTGTAGGGCTAATTGGGGGTTAACAATAATCCTTGTGTTTGGTATACGGCCTTATCACATCATTGTGACATCTCAAAGCGCTTCACAGAATATATTGTAAAGTGGTTTCAGGGTACTTGAGGGCCAAATGGGGCAGCCAAAGATATTTGGGTAGTAGAAATAGTAAAGGGGTTAATAATATTCCTTGCATTTGATATAACGTCTTATCACACCGTCAAAACATCTCACAGAATATACTGCAAAGCGAATTGACTGTATATTTTGTGGGTGAAACACGGCAGCCAGTTGCTACACCCCACCACACCCCACCCCTACCCCCAACCCTGGCCTTCTCTGTCACAGACCAAGTGAAGGAAATACGTGGTTTTAGACTGGGTGCAGTGAGTGAGCGAGCGAGAATTTGCCCAGCCTCCTCTCTCAGCAGAAATGGATTGATTTACTTCGATCCACAGACGAACATAAAATGAGATTTACTGATCAGCAACTCTCCAACTTCCTGTTGAGCAGAGTCTGCTGTCTGTCTGGGGGAGGTAACAAGCTCTCAGCCCTTTAGGCCCTTTCACCATAAAATAGCCAAATGCAATTCCTTTAATTGAAGAAGAAGAATCCTTGGATTTTCGTATAGCACCTTATTACATCGTAAAGACACCTCAAAGCTTGTCACAGGATTTTACTGTGGAATGGAGTCACTGTGTATGTGCAGGCAAATGTGGCAGCAAAATTTGCACACAGCAATGTCCCACAAACAGCCAATAAACAGTAAACCGATCTTATTTGGGGGATTTGTTGGCCAGGACACCGGGACAAAGAAACTCCCTTCTCTTTTCGAATAGGGCTATGGGATCTTTTACGGCCATCTGAACAGACAGACCTCAGTTTAATGTCTCATCCATTACAGATCCTTAGAGGGCTACGGTTTAAGGGAGATGCAAGGGGCTGGGACTATGTGTGGGTGAAGTAAAACTCCCATTAAACTACCCGATCCATCCTCCTTTTCCGTAATAGGCAGTCCTATAGCACAGTGTTCAGAGAACTTGCCTCACAAGCGAAAGGACCCCAGTTCGATTCCCGTCAGGGCAAACCTTAGGCAAGTTTCCTTATTCTTCATGCCTCTGTTTACCTAATAGTTGTTGGTGGATCGCTTTCCAGAGAAATAATATATAAATAAATAATAATTTGGTCATGCAATCCACAGTTGTTTGTGGGACACAGCTGTGTGCAATTGGCTGCTGTGTTTTGCCCACAAAATATACAGTTAATTCACTTTACAATATATTCTGTGAAGAGCTTTGAGATGTCGCAACGATGTAATAAGGGTCTAAATCAAATGCAAGGATTATTATTAATATAATGAGCAGATGCATTGCTGCTTGCTGCTTGCATTTAACATTCCTGGACATAAAGACTCCCTCACACGAGGTGGGTGATTCCCTGCTAACGGACCTTCTTGCACCATTAATCTGAACACTGGTGGCTTTGTTGGTAGGAGTGGGCATGGCAGCTGAAGACAGCCAGGCTGTGGCGAAGGTTACCAGCGGCATGATGGACCTGGGCATGGCGGAGGATGTCAAACACGATCTGGAGCTGATCATGAAGCCCTACGCCAACTGGGAGGAGTTCCTGACACCCGGGCCCATCTCCATTGCTATCCTGGGGGAGTTGATCTTCATCTCAGCAGCAGAGTCCTTCAAGATCACGCTGAGCCCTGACCGAGCGAGCGAGCCAGGTCTCCTCAAACACCCTGAGTCCTTCCACGCCAGCCTGCTCCAGGTCATTGACCAGGGCTGGAGGGCCTTCAACAAGGCCCACAAGAACATGGACCAGATACGCCTGTACTCTCTGACCGCTCCCAAGCACCTGGCCAGTGCGGTGCAGGTTCTGGGCCGTGAGCCAGCCTATGTGAAGGCCATGCTGCCCCGCCGGCTGCAGAGCATCAAGAACATCGCTGACGAATGCGTCCAACTGTCCTCAGCGGCCGAAGAGGAGTTCTCTCTGCTTCTCCAGTTGATTCAGGAGCTGCTGGAGGCTTGTGCCGGAGCCCGCACCTCCTATCAGGAGAAGGAAAGTCAAGTCCAGCTGGTCCTAAAGGAGGCCAAACTCAGAAAGAAGTCAGCGGAAGAGAAAAAGTTCCAGGCGGATATTCAGTTTACCCAGATGTGCAAGGACTTGGAGGAGGCGCGCAAAACTTATACTAAGGCCGTGAAGAGGATCCCGGCCACTAAGACACTGCTGGGGGTCTACGTGACGCAGACCATGTTGGACATGACCAACCGCATCGCCACTGAGCTGGTCACCAAAGGGCTCTGTGAGCCGGTGAGCCTGGCAGTGGAGGTGGGCGAGACGGCAGTGCAGTGCCTGAAGGGAATCAAAGACAGGAACAAGGCCAAGGAGGGAGGCGAGGCCGCCGACAATGCTGAGACCTCAACCGGGCCACCTCCCATCAGCATCTGCCTGAAGGCCATGGAGATGCTGTTGGCCACTGCGGCACTTCAGCATTTCCTGGCTGCGGATGGGAGCCTGGATCACAGCAAGCTCGCGGCTCCGGTTGGGAAGGATGAGGATGAAGATGAGGACGCCGGGATATGCAGGCCCTTGTTCGAAAACGCCTTGAGCAAGCTTGAGACTGAGGACGACTGTGGACCAAGGAAGGAGGCCCTTCTGCTGTGCAGTGAAGGCATCGCCACTTGCAAGCGGTTGGAAGAGATGAGGAAGCAAGAGAAGCTGGAGGAGACCGAGACTAAGCAAGTGGCTTTGGACATCAAGGACCTCAGCACCAAAGTGCGCAAGTTCCTCTCAGGCACCAAAGGTTCCTCCAAGGCTCCGTCCATCGCTCCCACTCCCCTTAACTTGGCCAACGTCATCAACACAGAGAAGAACGAGGAAGGCCTGGCCAAGGTGATCCAGGAGGAGGCCTGTTTTAAGGTGGAGCAGGCCAAATGTCAGATGGACATCACGAAACAGGAGTTTGATAAGATGTCCGAGAAGAAGGACCAGGCCAACAAGGACCTGGACGAGATCCTGGTATCCATGATGAAGTGCGAGGTGAAGAAAATTGACTTCGATGAGACGGTAAAGATGTTGACGGCGGGGCTGAAGGCTCTGAGCGAAGTCAAGGAGCAGTGGGCCAAAATGAGCAACTTCTTCCAGATGATGTCCAATCTGATCAAAGTTTCGCTCAAGGACAAGATGGAGGAATTTGCCAATGAGAGCGAAGCATTACAAGCCATCCCGAGCTACTCCCTGAGCTCCTTCGACAAGGGCATGATCTACACCCAGGTCTTCCACGCCTGCAGCATCGCCAACCTCTGCCACATGATATCAGGAACGTACGTGGAGATCTCCCAAAAGTACCTGAGGGACCAGGTGTCCGGCCTAGAGACCCACATGCACCTGAGCCCGTCCGACCCCATGTTCAATGTCCATCGCAGCGGTCTGCAAGAAGCCTACAAGAAGGCCAAGGAAGCCATCCATGCCCTAGTGGAGAAGAACAAGCAAGAATTTGAGATGGAGATACAGCAGCGGATCGGGGTATTCAACGGGGCTTTGAAGGGCATCCTCCCCCCCGCGGTGGAGTAAGAAAGTGAAGCTGCTGAGAAGAAGCCTGACTGAGGACTTTGGCACTGGACCAGATTCTGGTATAGTCTAAGGCCAGAGGAAGGAAATATGACTCAAATGTCCCTGGTATGGAAACCTTAGCTCAAATTCTTCACTTCCCATCTTCCGTGCATACGGTAATGTAGAAATAATATTAATTAGGAAGGGGAAAATTAGCCTGGGATACTCTAATAATAATCCTTGCATTCGATAAAGCACCTTATCATGTCTTTGAGACGTCTCAAAGCGTTTCAGATTATACTGTAAAGTGAATCGGCAGTATATATGTGGGCAAAACGGGGCAGCCAATTGTGCAAACAGTCATTGATTGAGTGAACACATTCTTTTTATTTTTTCAATTTAATTACAAATAAATCTAAAGATCTCCTATACTTGAGACACCCAAATTACTCATGATTTTAGATTGCCTTAAAATATAAGATCTTGTAGGAAAGGGGCTGGGACTGTGAGCAATGTAGATGTGAATTAGATGTTGTCTAAATGCAGCTGAATGATCATGACGGATCCTGTGGAATGTATTTTTTTAATGTTCAGGGAACTAAATAAACAACATCTGACAAAACTCATCTTTCAGATTAATTTTTGAAACAGATCTTTGTATTATTCTTCCTCTTTTTTAAAAAGAATTTTCTTCTTCGATCACCCTCCCATCTCTCTTTCCCTTTACGCATCTTATAATAATAATAATATTAATTCCTCCATTTAATGCAGCGCCTTATCACATCGCTGAGACATCTCAAAGCACTTCACAGAATATACTGTAAAGTGAATTGACTGTATATTGTGGGCGAAAGCGGTAGCCAATTGCGCACAGCAGTGTCCAACAAACAGCTGTGGATTGAATGATGCAATTATTATTTTTTTGAAGGGATTATTATCCCCAGAAAAGTGATCTGCCAATCAACGAACAATCGGGTTCCTATACTTACTGCTAGGTAAACGGAAGCTTGTGGAGGAAGGAAACTTGCCTAAGGTTTCACCCTGCCCGGGAATGATTTCAAAGAGCATTTAGATTAAAAAGATTTGCTCAACAAAGTAAGTTTCCATGATGTCCAACTCCACCAAGGGCAGGGTACTGGTAACGACTTGTTGGCAATGTGCTGATCTGGAAACCCAGTAGCAATAAGAGGGCAGGAAACATGCCCCCGGAAGGAATAATAATCCTTGCATTTGATACAGCTCCTTATCACATCATTAAGACGTCTCAGAGCGCTTCACTGTAAAATGAGTTGACTGTATTTTGTGGGTGAAACACGGCAGCCAATTACTCACAGCAGTGTCCCACAAACAGTTGTGGATTGAGTGAACAAATTATTACCCCGAGCACATGATCTGCCAATCGACTAACAACCGGGTTCCTACTTTCTGGTAGATAAACAGAGTTGTGTCGAGTAAAGAAACTTGTCTAAGATTTTAATCGAACTGAATTCTTGTTTTAATTTAATCTATTCTAAGATTTCAAGAATGTAGGAGAGCAAGACAGTGGAAAAAGTCATTGATGTCCATCTCATCAGCCACAAACTAAATAAATAGTTTTGCCTACAACATGCACGATCACAAGATCGGGCTAGAACGGGAGGAGGGTGGGGCACCCTTTTGGCTGCTGAGGGCTATTTGAGAGACGTCCGCAGGCTGCATAAGCAATATTTTTGTGTTTCCCTTCCAAAAACGTAACAACATTTATAGGTTATGGAAGTAGCGGTGGGCCAGATGAAATGCAGGGATGGGGGGAAAACAGTTGAAATTGACCCGCGGGCTGGTTGGACCACCCTGGTCTAGAAGATGAAGGTCCTTCAGCCCATCGGATCTCATCCCACCAGCACACCAACCCTCATCAATGCATCAAGCTGCTGCTTAAATGAGTCTCAGTGTCCTGGCCCCAACTACCCTTCCTGGTAACCCTATTTCCTGTCAATTGATACTGTGCTGATCTGGGTTTACTTTTTATACCCTTTGTAGTATATCCCTTGAAATGTTTTGAGATGTCTTGCAATAGGAACGGTAGCGATCTAATCATGTATGAAGGCTAAAATAGATGCGCAAACAGAGCAAGTAGTGAATGTGGAGTCCCGTAGTCATTCAATCCACAACTATTTTGGGAAACTATGTGCACAATAGGCTGCCATATTTCGCCCCCAAAATACAGTCAATCCACTTTGCAATGTATTCGGTCAAGTACGTTGGGACGTCTCAATGAAGTGATAAGCCACTATAAGAAATGAAAGGATTATTATAATTATAACACGTACTAAACATGTCGAAGACGAACAACATTGTTACCAAGACGAGATACTCGCTAAAACATGCAAACTGAAAACAAGATAGAAAACAAGATCGCTGTTGAAAAAACAAATACTTAGAAAAATAACCGTTGAATGAGATAGTTCCAAGAAGGATAAACCATCAAGATATGGAGGAAATTAAGGAACATTTAAGTAAATAACACCTTACATGCCAGATAGACAGCTAGCTGAAACTGCTTCTTCTGTTGAGGCCATGTAAGTGCTATATAAGGAGCAAGAGCACGTAGGGACGAAGATCTAGAGAGCATCATGAACTTGTGATCGACCTACTCCGTCTCAAGGGATTGCCCTATCGCTTGCTACAGCTCTGAACGACATATACATGGGTGCGTTTTGTTTGTTTTGATGCTCCTCAAAGAGAACAAGGCTTATAATAAATGTATGCTGTTGAAATTGCGGGTTCCGGGGGAAATTCTTGCAGAGATTTCATCATATCAATGGCAAGCGATGTGGTTTTAGCTGGTTAGACTCCAGCAAGTACCCTAATGCACACCCTGGAATCTCCAAGCCTTGGCTCTTTGCCAACCTACATGTAGTACTTTCTGGAATTAGGTAAACAGGATGTGTCCTCCAGGGAGAGATTACACATTCCAATCCAACAATCTATCTCTGGAATTTGTACGTGTAGATGGGATGCATAGAATTCTCAGTTTGGTTTGGAGTCTCTTAAGCAATGGTGATGGGTTTCCACATATGTTAAACACACAGTTAACTCCCAAAAATATATAGTATATGAAAAAAAGTAAATGTTCCATTATCGAGAGGAAGAATTGCATTTTGAAAGCGTGCACACTGTCTGCCTCCACCCCTTCCCAGGAAATCTTTCATTTTTTCCTTGGATAGCCGGCTGTCTGACACATGCGGAAACCCACCACCATGCTTAAGAATATTCAAACCAGGTTGAGAATTCCATGCATCCCAACCACACGTGGAAATTCCAGCTTGCATCACATGTTAACCAGCCTCTGGGTAATATAGCTCTGTGGTTAGAGCACTCGCTTTGCAAGCGAGAGACCTGGGTTCGATTCCTGGCAGGGTGAAACCTTGGGCAAGTTTCCTTATTCCACACTCCTGATAATAATCCCTCAAGAAAAAAATAATAATTTGGTCATTTCAATCCACGACTGTTTGTGGGACACTGCTGTGCACAATTGGCTGCCGCATTTCACCCACAAATATATAGTCAATTCACTTAACAGTCTATTCTGTGAAGTGCTTTGAGACGTTTGGAAGATGTGAAAAGCACCAAATCAAATGCAAGGATTATTATTATTGTCAAAACTAAACCGACAACCTCCCTTGGGATTTAGGTAACTCTCCAGTCCTCCTTTGAGCAGCTTGTCCTGAAATTATTTTGCCCTTTTTTATTATGGTATAATAATAATAATCCTTCCATTTGATATAGCGCTTCATCACGTCATTGAGACGTCTCAAAATGCTTCACAGAATATATTGTAAAGTGAATTGACTGTGTGTTTTGTGGGTTAAACCCGGCAGTCAATTGCACGCAGCAGTGTCCCACAAACAGTCGTGGATTGAGTGGCCAAATTGTTTTTTTGGAGGGATTATTATCCCCAGAAAACGATCCGCCAATTGACTAACAACCATGCTCCTAATTGGTGCTTGGTAAACAGAGGCGTGTGGAGTAAGGAAACTTGCGTAATAATAAAATAATAATAATAATCCTTGCATTTGATATAGCGCTTTTCACGTCGGGAAGATGTCCCAAAGCGCTTCACAGAACACACTGTAAAGTGAATTGACTGTATATTTGTGGGCGAACGCGGCAGCCAATTGCGCACAGCAATGTCCCACAAACAGTCGTAGATTGAAAATGACCAGTTTATTATTGGTTTTGGTTTTGGAGGGATTATTATTAGGCTCTGTGTGGAGTAAGGAAACTTGCCCAAGGTTTCGCCCTCTGCCTGGAATTGAACTCAGGTCTCTCACTTGCAAAGCGAGTGCTCTAACCACTGAGCTACAGGACTCCACGTAAGGTTTCGCCCTGCCCGGGAATCAAACCCGGGTACTCTCGCTTGCGAGGCGAGCGCGCTAACCGCTATGCTACAGGACTCTGCTTTTAACGGAAACACTGAATAATTTTCTCATTTTCATTCTTTCAAGCGTTATGGAAGAACATCGCAACTGCAGAAATTGGGAAAAGACGCAAAAGGACTTGCGTGGGTGGATTCAGTACATCAGCTTTCCCAATTATACCTCAGTGAATCAGAGGAGCCTGACATTAATCAGTGGCATTACAGGATGGAAAGAGTTCATTCAGCATTTTCAGTCTGGACTCCTGCCAGCCCTACATTCTAATCCCAATTCCTTGCTCTCCCTTCACTACCCCTCCCCCGTACTGTTTTATATTATCAAATGCTCATCAAATACTTATCCAATTCCCTTTTAAATCTTGTTATGGACTGTTGAACCATTGTTGAAATGGTTGCTTTGCCTTCAATGCTCTCCACGGCCGTGCTCCTCCCTACCTCTGTGACCTGTTAGCTCCATGTGGACTTGTGCGCTCCCTCCATTCGCCCCCCTCCCTTGCCTCCTTCAAGGCCCAACTCAAGAACCTACCCTTCGACTGTGCCTACTACCCTACTACCCCTATGCTCCACCCCTCCTGATCCCAACCCTCAGCTTGGTGCAAACCCTTGACTGACCAGCACCTTGGAATGTCCTTCTGACGTGAAAGGCGCTATATGAATGTAAATTCTTGTTGCTAACTCTAACCTATTTCTACCCATACAATTTTCTCCAGCCTCATTTTGGGCCGTTTCCTCAGCAGTGTAAACTGGTTTGAAAAGGACTGCTGTCTAACCTTGGGGTAAGTATCTTCTTGCTCTCACTGCACTTATCTCTTGACACTCTCCCTGTACTGTCACTTGGCAAATGCTCTGGAATCAATCACACTCAATTTACTGTTACATCAATGTGGGCTCTGTGCTGTATCTACTCATTCAGACACCAATGAATATTCACTGTCCCAGCTTCCTCATGTTATTGTCTACAGAGACAATAAGAACATAAGAATTTGCTAGACAAAAGAAGACCAAGGTCCACCCAGTTTGCCTTCCACCATCCTGGCAGTCGCATGCGCATTTCATGTCCCAAACTATATACAGTATTATTTCCTAACAGAAATCTATCTAATTTGCTCTTGAAACAAACAATTTTTGCTTCCAACGTCTTCTTAGGGAGCCTATTCCGTATATTTACTACTCGCTCACTGAAATAGCGTTTCCACAGATTCACT